AGGATTTTATACCTTTTCATGTTGTTGTTCTCCTCTTGAAACCTTGAGATGCAACCTATCACTACATTTTCCCTTCTTTCTTGGGTCTAATCTTGCCTTTTTCTTATGCTGTAGTTTTCTTCTTAGAAGTTAATGCAGCTGTGCTATCGAAACTAGACTTTGATCACAGGCATTTGAACCCCTAGGAGAGGGCTCTACAATGGAATTTATGCTAATAGAGTTCATAAACAGAATGCAATCACCTAAACCCATGGTTGAGGCAAAGTCCTCATGGTTTCACTGGGATTTTGTAGGAATCCTTAGGTCATTTCTAATAAACAATGTATAAGGCAGACGGGTGTGTGCCAGCTGAAGAGAACTAAGACACTCAGACACGTGTTCTGCTGAGAACAGGGCAAAAGAGATACTTAAACCATTCTAGTTGAAGTGAAATCAGTTCACTTCAAGAAGAGAAGAATAAATTGGACAAGCCCTTCACCATTCTTTCAAAGGACTGCAAAACTCTGGATCTCAAGAGGACATGAAACTACCCTGTAGTGTTAGAGGGGGAGATGATCCCTGAAATACTGAAAGCAAGATAACACTTTTGTTTGTTGTGGCAGAGCGACCTTTAGACCCTGGCAACTTCCTAGTCCATGCTGTTTCCAACATCATCTGCTCCATTGTCTTTGGGGATCGGTTTGACTACGAGGACAAGAAATTTCTAACTTTAATTGATTTGATAGATGAAAACAACAAGCTTCAGGCCTCTCTACAAACACAGGTGTGTATGGTTATATTTAATACATTTATTATTATAATATTTTATTAATGAATATTTATTCATATTATTAATTTTTAATTAGAGGGGATTTTCCTAAATTTTGAAAAAAAAAAATTGAAAGTGAAAAAGACAGTTAAATAACCAGATCCTGCTGTTTTTATCTTATCTTATGGAATTGTGATTGTATGTCCAAAGGATATAATTGCAAAAGTTGCTGAAGTGTAGTCTATCCTTGAATGTACTAAAACCATAAAGTAAATAGCATTCAAATCCTGAGTAATAAAGACCTACCATTCCAAAACAGTTTAATTGCCCCATTTTCATAGTTACGATTGGGGGAAATATTATTGTATGTGCATTAATCAGAATGTGCTTTTTTATCATTTTATTTTTACAGCTATATAATTTCTTCCCAACTGTCATGGAGTCAATACCTGGACCGCATAAAAAACTGATAAAAAATATTGAACAAGTTGATCAATTTACAATAGATATCGTAATGGAGCACCAGAAAACCTTGGATCCCACTTGTCCTCGAGATTTTATTGATGCTTTTCTTAACAAAATGGAACAGGTATTGTAAGAGTATAGATTTGTTGGATTATAAGAAAATCACTGCTTGAATCATATCTTTTCTTTTCACATGTGACGGGGCATTGGGTTTTTGCAAATACAGAGGGGAACTTGTTCTTCTTGCCACATCGACTTCATTTTATCCTCTCCATTTTCTTATCAAACATGGAATTAACAGCACCAGCCAAAGTTAAGAAAGTTGAAGACCAATCTGGTTAATGTAATTCAAGGCTACTCCCATATTAAAAAAGGTTCATAATATTATTCAGTAAAAGTACATAAGTGCTGGTGCTCTGGAGAGTGCTGTATTTTTGAAAGGACATTAGATATGTTTATAAACACACATCATGGGTGTATGACTTTTCTTTTTAAACAAGCTTCTTGATTTTGTCATTCAAAACCTTCTGCCAAATCTTCTTGCAGGAGAAAGGAAATGTCGACTCAAAATTCACCACTGAGACCTTGACCAGAACCACGCTCGACTTGTTCCTTGCAGGAACTGGGACCACCAGCCTCACACTGAGATATGGAATTCTGATTCTCCATAAATACCCAGAGATAGTAGGTAATAGAAAAGGAAATAAATGATGTAAAAAGTTTTAGTAGGTTATGGGATCAGTTTGGACAATTGCTGTCATTACTACATGTGGCAATGGTCCCCTGACTAAGAAACATGTCTTTGCAGTGTGGAAATGTGTATTATCTTAGTCCTATTCACAAGGAGATGTTAGTACTAAGTATATTCATATATTCCCAATTTACTAAAAGCAAGTTCTGTTGTAAATACAGGCAGAGACTTAGACAAACAGATGGGCTACTTGTCCACTGAGCATTTCCTTATTTCCTAACAGAGAAAATGCAAAAGGAGATTGATTCCGTGATTGGCCGGGACCGAAGCCCCCGCATGGCAGATCGGAGCCAGATGCCCTACACAGAGGCTGTGATCCATGAAATCCAGAGATACATTGATTTCCTTCCACTTAATGTCCCACATGCTGTGACCAGAGACACCAAGTTCAGAGACTATTTTATCCCCAAGGTCTGTTGCATTGTGTCTGAGAAAGGTCATAATCTCCTGAAAACAATTATGTGTTCTATTCTTTGTATTTTATTTAATTTTTAAAAGCACTGCAATGTGATATTGAATTGGAATAGTTTTGTTTGGTAGGGGAATCTGGTAGTTATTGAGTCCAACCCCTTGAATTAGAAAAGGAAAAAAAAAAACCAAAGATTTTTCATCCTCTATGACAAGAGGGCAGTAGAGCTTTCTATTTTTTACATAAATGGAAGGTGTATTCCATTTGGGAGCAATTTGAAATACTCTAAACAGACTCACCACTAAAATTCATTAAAAAAATCATCTTTGTCATACCAATGTCATATATTTTCACTTCTTAAATGCTCATTTAAAACTGGTTAAACTTTGACTACCCTTCTATTTAGCTCTGGGAACTTCTTAATCCCTCTTTGCTTTAGCAAATCTCCAGTGTACCTTTCTTTTTTGTCAATTCAGGGCACTATGGTATTCCCTATGCTGACTGCTGTCCTACATGATAGCAAGGAATTTCCAAATCCCGAAAAATTTGACCCAGGACATTTCCTGAATGCAAATGGTACCTTTAAAAAGAGTGACTACTTTATGCCATTTTCTACAGGTAAGACCTCTTCCTATTTCAGATCCTAGACTATCCTCTCCTAGAATCTCTTTGAAAGTTTCAGTGGCTCCATTGCCATGATCTGTACAGTGATGTCTGGTGACGTCTGCCACTCACTTCTGGGCAGCTGTAACCCCTGCACTAGAGTTGCAGTTGACTTCCTTGTTTACCAACCTCAAAAGTTCCTTCAATGCCTTCTCCAAGAAGAGGTGTATAAAGTGGGACTCAGCCATGCAACTTCTCTCTCTCCAGATGAACCATCAAACTGCAGCAGAACAAGAGAAACCAGAGCTTTCAAACCACCTTTGCCCACTGAGCACTCTTTGTGTTCTAGACCCTTAGTTCCCAGTTTAATTCATTTGCTTCCCCAAAATGCTGCAGTGCTGCCTGTGCCTTCTGAGATGTCTGAACTGTCAAGGAACAGTGGTTAAAACCAGTTAGCAAGCAAAATACTGCATCACCTCAATTTTTATTATTTTCTTTTCTTGCAGGAAAACGTGTCTGTGCAGGAGAAGGTCTGGCCCGGATGGAGATATTCATATTCTTAACATCCATCCTGCAGAACTTTACTTTGAAGCCTATTGTGGATCCCAAGGACATTGACATTACTCCAATAGTCACCTCTCTGGCAAGCATGCCCAGACCCTATCAGCTCTCTTTTGTTCCACGTTAGCCAAGAGAAAACTGTTGCCAGCTCCCAAACTTCTGAATGCTCTGATTAAACAACAGTCACTTCCCAATCTGTTGAGACTGAAACACTCAGATAATTTTCTAGATGCTTTATGGAGACAAAAGTGCTTAGAAAAGAAAATGGTATGGTGCTGTTATAATCACCACAGCCAGCTCTAAACAGAGACAGAGTAGGCAATGGCACGGGGAAGAACACAGCTCCCTGTGCAAAATCATACAGGTTTTCCTCTGCACCTGCCTCGCCCAGCTCTGGTTCCTGTCTGGCTCCTGACATACCAGGGTGAGTGGAGTAGCTGTCTGAGAGCCCTGCTGCTGCTGTCCCTATTCCTTGACCACCTCAGCACAGCAGAACAGATGCTTGTACTCCAGGCTTTCCACAGAATCTGCTTGAGGTACCTCTCTCTGTACTTTCAATTTGTTTGTAACCTATTTGTAAAGGTAAGCGTATAACAGTGAGGTTTTTTCTGTTAGATGATGGTCATCTAACATATTCTTGTCCCAGTACTTATTGTCTACTGTGGTGGGAATGGAGTTTATCAGTGACTGGGCAGATGGGTTATCTTCTGTGTGATTGCAATGAAGGTTTGTGAAACTACAACTTACATTGCAAAATTAAAAAGTGGTACACCGAATTGTTCTTTTTCTGAGATTCCAGACCATCTTTCAGTGAAAAACCTGCATCCACAGAGCTTGTATTTCCAAATGTTTTTCAAGTCTTGTACACTGTTGAAATCTGTTTCATTTCACTCATGTATATGAAATGCCCTATGGCTTGAAGAATGAGCTGGCTAATGACCTTTAAACTTCCATTCCCAATGTGGGATAATAGAGGACTTATCAGAACCCCAGCTGTAGTTACAGAGCTGTCCACTGTGGAAAAAAAAAAAAAAGACAAATAATACCAGGATGCCCCCAGTGCCATTTCCTAGATAAACGCCAGCTTCCATCTTCCCATTATTTTATGAAGTACGTAAAGATCACTACAGCAATGTTACAATCAGGCAAAAAAATATAAACAGTGTTTACATGAATTGCCAATCATACCTGTGCAGATCTAGGATTGCCATTTCCTGTCTTGATCACATTCCCTGCAAAGTATAATATACAGTGATTACAGTGAAGACAGAGAGCTGAATCTGTGCTGTGTGGGAAAAGACAGCAACTGTAACATTACCACAATGGTATTAACTGCTTATTAACAGGCTAAACTTGTTTTCTTTGAAAGTATTAATAAGCTAGATATACCATGACTTGGTGGCATAGCATTCCAAAGGCAAAAGTCACAAATGTCACAGAATCATAGAAATAAGTTGTCTCACCTGATAAAAAGAAGAAAGCACTCTGTAATTCCTCTTTAGCTGTGCCATGACTAAAATAGCCAAAGCAAATGAGGAAGCAGCTTCCTTCTTTCAGACATCTTCCTCCATGCTGAAAAGAGAAGGAGGCAGCCAATGCAGATCAGCAAGAAAACAGTTTAAGCACCCAGAGACTCCACCAGGATGTAAAATGGGTGTTGAGATTTGAGGAGGGCTAAAGCTGTATCCTGGAAGCCTCACTTTGTGTCACTTGTGGTATAAAAAGCAGTGCAATGGTAACCAAAAAATGCTTACATTAGCTCTGGGTTAACTAAAACAATTAGCCACTGCTGGAAAGTTCTACATGTCCCATGAAGCCATACTGCTCCCTCTCCCTGCCTGCTAGTGCACAGTGCAGCCTTGGCTTTTTCTTCTGCAGGGACAGCACAGACAGTGCATTACTTGCTCATGTGCAGAACCAGGCAGGACCATACGAATTTTCTGTGGCAAACCTGACACAATGTCCTGGCACTTGGCCATGTGAAGAAGACTTTCTGACTTGATGAATCCATTCTGCACATTGTTGCTATTAGTGCCCAAATACCTCTCACACAACATAAGCACCCCTGTGAGCTCAAGCTTCTAAGATGCTTCTAAGCAGCTGGGAAGCAGCTACAGAAGCAACAGTCAGCTGGGCAAGTACTAATGAAGAAAAGAAATGGCAAATTCTGAAACATACAAAAGTGTCCCTAAGTGAAGAACTCAGTGAAGAAATCCATGAAGCAAACAAAAGTACTTCAGCATTGTCCCCATAACAGGGCAATAGCACTTGCCTGAGCTATTATTATAAATTAACGTGACATAGAGAGATTAATTGGATGTCTGGACATAAAGGACAGATGTGGGTCAAGGGAGATGGGGTGATCAAAGGTAAAAACAAGCAGTTTGGAGTAGCCAGGTGTAAACTCAAATACCTTTCAATTTCTTGTTGAAGAGGGAAAAGACACGGGCAGAGCGCATACCAGAGCCTCATGTGCACATATATGTTACACAGCTCTTATAGGCTGAAGGGAAGGATGTTGAGACATTTGTGAATTCCCATACAGAAGCTTCATTTAAAAGGGAAAGTTGTGAAAACAATGGTTTTATCCACAGCTGTCAAGTTAGGGATTCTCCCACCTGCCATTTCAGATGTACTTTTGACCACTTGGGATGTCAGTGCTCTCTTGATAACCCTACACAGTAGCATGTTAAACTATACATGACTGTTAAAAGGTTGAAACTTTCAACCTAGAAGTTGAAAGTAGTTTTGTAGGACATAGAACATTCTGAGGTTCACTAGCACTGCTTTATCCTGAGGATGAAGCTCTCTATTGGATTACTGATTAACACTGAGGAACTTTGGTTCCGGGACTCACCTTTCTAAACAGATCTTCTGTTTGGCACACAAATACACCAGGGATGTTTTCTGACATGAGTTGTAACTGTAATTCCCAATGCTTGTGTGCTGTGGGATATACAGCCCCCCTCAACTGAGACACACACACACACACAGACACACAGAGACACACAGACACACACACACAGACACACAGAGACACACAGACACAGACACAGACACACAGAGACACACAGAGACACACAAAGACACACAGAGACACACAGACACACAGAGACACAGAGACACACAGAGACACACAGAGACACACACTGACACACAGACACACACAGACACACACAGACACACACACACACAGACACACACACACACACACAGACACACACACAGACACACACAGACACACAGACACAGACAGACACACACACACACACTCCACCCAAAGGTTTCCACTTCCTTGCAGCTGATGCCTCTTGAGTTTTCCCTGCTGACACAGGAAAGTGTGTGTCCTGACTAACTGCAGTGCTGTACACTGCCCAACACAATGAGGATGTGTACCACACTGGCATGTCACTAGACATTCTTCTAAACAGACTGTATTTCTTTCCTACATATCAGCACTTGTACTATTCTCTTGTGCAACTCACTCAAAAGCCAGCTTGAAGTACTTACGGTCGACAGGTATGGAAAAAGTCCTCGGTGTGGGAGGCATGCCTGTTCAGTAGGCAGGGCTCTGCCAAATTAGCAATTTGGAAATTGTTAATCTGGTAGAGAAGCAATTTTGTGCTGGCCATGCCACTTCAAACACTACCAGGATCACAATTCACTGCTGAAGTAGAGAAAGGATCTGCTAAGTTAACTGAGCACATGATACAGCAATGTATCTTGCAATTCACCTGAGGTCCAGGCAGTCAAAGAATGCAATTGCAACAATACTTGAGGCAGAGTTTAAAACATGTTCTCTTCTACCATCTTCAGGAGCTGGAAAAATCTGTCCTTTGACAAAACACAAAACCAGCTTACATAATCTTTCCCACAGGAACTTAGGATTCCAGAGAAACAAATGCAGCAAGTTGTTTTATTGTAAATTTATAGTAATTAGTCTCCCTATGTCAAACAGATAACGGGGGATACCAAAATTAAGGGTTTTCAATACCCCTCTCATGAGTCCAAAGGCCCAAGTGTCTTCTCAACACAGAGCACAATGAAGGAAAAAGTGAAGTTTTGGTCCTACTGCTATTGAGGGAAAATGTCTTTTATAGGTTACAGAGGAATTTTCTTAGACAGACTATTTCATGTGAAAAACAGGACTAACACACACATAGCCAGTATCAGCATGGGTTAGGGACAGGCTTTTACTTGTCACTGCAAAACAACTTTGCAACAGAACCTCCTGAGAAGAGGAAAATATTATTCAGCCTTAAGCCTGAATACAGCTAGTCTGCATGGTCTGTACATGTATATACATGTAAAACACAAGATTAGCATTGTATAGCAGCATATCTATTTCAGTGAGTTTTCTTTCCTTCAGCACCTAATGGAATGTGAACCTTCTGACTCTTAAGATGCTTCATTTCCCAAACAAGTGCACCATTTGTTATACCCCTACCATATTTGGTGTACTTACATTTTTGATTCAAATCCTTAAGATTTCTACTGATGTTTATAGCAATATCTTTCATTTCTAGGTACTTCAAGCTAGTCAGCTTATTCATGTTTTCCAAGAGTTTGTAGTCCTCACTGGTGGCTTAAAAAAGAACACAGTTTATTTTAATTAAAGGCTGATGTGGTTTGAATCATGTGCAGACTCTTCGAGAGGACAAGAGATTTCAAACCAAGAGAAAAATGTAGAGTACAGTTTGGATGGCAATCCAGGTATAACACGTTACAAAATGAGAATGACCTTTTGTGAACTGCAAAAATCAACTAAGCTGATGAATTCACTTGTTTTTGTTTTTTTTTTTTTTGAGAGAAAAATTTACTAATTCCTCACATTTCTAGTCTTACTCTGTAAGTTAGACACTTATGCTTACAAAACTGATAGCACAAATTCAGACTGGTCATCTGTACCATATATCCTTCAAGTCTGTGTGAATTAGTGGTGCTGTGGAGTGCTTTCAGAATTCGAGCCTATGGAATGCACTAAGCTGGTGAGCAGTTTACTTTGCTCCAGTTAATTTTGCACAGCAGTTTATTCTAAAGCATCAATATATTGGAATAAGGAAAAATCCTTGAACAATGGGAAAAGAAATACATTTGGAGAAGTTATATATCTGCAGCTTTTCTCTGATACTTCTTTATGGTTTTGTTTCTTGCTTTTGTTATCATTTGACGTGCCAAATTTCATCTGTGTCTAGGTCTTTCAAGATGGAACATTTTCACTATGAATAAATTCACTGAAAAAAAATGCATGTAAAACCAGGTTTGGTATAAGTAACAAATGGTATTTTCACACCAAATCTTTTTAAGCCAATATATTTTGGATGAGTATTTTTGATTTTCCAAGTATTGGGGCACTTAAAGCTGGGAAATTTCACTTGTTTCTTCTTAATTCAAAGTTCAATCAGCAAACTGTTCTTTTATTCTTTTTAATCTTCAGTCATTCACAGAGCTAATTAAATTCATAGGAGAGCTAATTAAATTCATAGGACCAGTAAGTGCAACTTTTATCCATTGCAAAGACTCAGCTGAAAAGTCCGTTTGGTTTCCCTGAGGTTATTGAAGGATGAGCTTGGCTCTTCATTGCCATAACATGTAAGACTTAAATTCTGTCTTTTTCTCCATAAAGATGAGAACATACTGACAGTAGAAGAAATCATGCACTGCTTCCCCATGGCCACCATGCTGGTGAGTGCAGCAGGAGTGATTTGTGAGAGCTTTGCCAGCTCTCACATCTCTGTGTCACCAAGCATGCAGAGTCTGTGGCCTGACTTCCCATGCACAGAGTGCTGGCAGGGGATGGCTGTGCATTTGGACCTGGAGGGAAGATAAGAGAGGGCAGATGTGATGCAGCTGTAGGAGAGTTTTGGCTTTGAAGGGTTTGGGTGTGAGCCAGAAAAGAAAACCAGAGAGAAATACCTGACACAACTGTGATGTGAATTCTGATACAAATTACATGCCTTTGATACTGTGGGTCTTCCATGGTTGCCACCATTATTCTCTTGCATTCCTGAAACCCAACTTGTTTGAGATGGAAGGTGGTTTAGTTTGGAAGTGGCTTTGTGATTATGTTTAGCCAGTCCACTGTGCTCTGGAAGATCATCAGGAGGGCTGAGAAAAAGAAACTCTCTCTTCCTAGCAAAATTATGAGATCAGAGTTTTCTAGAGTGTCTTACGATAGATTTAGGAAATGAGAGTCATAGTGGCCATGACCTCTCAAATTCCAGGTGTGGGTCATTGTGGAGGATGGGAAGGAGTGCTGAAAGCCTTGGAGGGGAAATCACAGGGCAGGCACATCTCTGGGAAGGTACCACAGGGTGTGGCAGGGAAATCCCATTGTGATGGGACTTCCTCCAGCTGGGGCAGGGCACCTGAAGTAAAGAGGGAAAGGTGTTGAGGGTGCTCAGAGCACAAGCTTTGAGGGCAGGAATGGCCATGGCATCAGCAAGGATCACACAGGGAGGAGCTGGGCTAAGTAAGGAA